AAGCAGAGAACAAGTTGTAATATGAAACACAATTTATGCAACTATGTTGAAATTCTCTGACAGAGTTACACGTTCTAATGTAAGAATTTTATGGTAAAACAATGTCAAAATAATATCAAGAATTAGATTAGGCTCATTTTTGTTTTAGGCTGTTACAGGAAAACTCTTCCTATACAAATCATTAAAATTCTAAGAAAAATGATAGTGCCTTAATTTTCTTTTTTGAATCATGTTCCCTACAGTTTAAAATTAAACAGCCGAAAGTAAACCTCATTTGAAATTATACTGTTAGGCAACTCCAAAAGCTAAACACAAAAACATGTTAAAATAAAGATTGCAACATCAAGAGAAAACCATCCTCATATATATAGTTTTGGATTCTCAGCCATTTCTGACTCCTTCCCAGATGAGGTCAACTGATCCTTCATAGGTTTTCCCACAGTCAGCCAACAAGCTACTCACTATTTCTCAGCCACATGGGTTTACTCAGAGAAATGGATGCAATACATTTAAAGGGCCAGTAGAAATCCCGTGGGTGGCTTTGGTCTGCCTTTCAAAACCAATGAACTTCCCATTATATAATCTTTAATAGCAAGAGGGAAGTTTACAAGTCATACACCCAATTTAACCATAAGGCAGGCTACGTTGCATGCCTCATTGTATCAGGAAAGAAGAAGAAAGCAAAAGAGCTTTCTGAATGGCACAAACCATCTTGTCCAGTAATGTCAGAAAATTAATGAATGCTGACAGTACTACCAGGTCCTTTTTCACAATAATATTTTAGTTAATGTGGTGTTTTCAATCAGAAAAGCCCAAGGTGCCAAAAACAAAACTCCTATGACATTTTATTAATTCTTTATAAAATAGAGTTAAGTCTTGAAACCACAGGAGAATTCTGAGAATCTAGCTTTTCCAGAAAGCCCAAGAAAAATAATTCAGTTTCACCATTCTCAAATTCATTTGACTTTGAAACAAAATAAACATATTACTCTATTTAATATTGTTGCACAAGCGAATTCACAAGAATGAAATGTGTTCAGAGTTCCTAGAAAAAATGTAGCAATACAGGCTGCCAACTTGTTCAATGTCAAGCTTTAGGCAGTATAGCAGCAGCCGCAGTAAATGACTCAGAGTGAATCACACTTAAGCTATTTTTGCTTTTAAAGTACTGCCAGGTCCTGTGTTAATATTCAATCCAGAGTAAATTTAGCCCAACAAGAAAACAAGTGTTTCCATGGTTGCTTCTTCACAGTGTTTATGGTATATATGCAGCCATTAGGCACAGGAATCCAGCCAGATAAATTAAGCAGAAATGCTCATCCTTCATTTATATCCAGGCATTGGAACACTGAAAGTCCTAAAGTCAACTCAGGCTTTTCTTCCATCTCTTTCTGTCTTTCTGCCTCCTCAGACCCCAAATAGCAAATATGTGGAGTATATATTAATGGTTAATGTGGAGTATATATTAATGGTTCATTTAAAAGTTTATCCCATTAAAGCAGCTTTAGTGGACTGGTATTCAGATTTTATTTGGTTCTATATTAAGAATCACAACCAGCCAGGCGTGATGGCTCATGCCTGTTATCCCAGCACTTTGGGAGGCTGAGAGGTGGCGGATCACCTAAGGTTGGGGGTTCCAGACCAGCCTGAACAACATGGAGAAACCCCATATCTACTAAAAATAAAAAAAATTATTCTGGTGTGGTGGTGCAAGCTTGTAATTCCAGCTACCTTCCCAGGGGATATTGGAAGCTGAGGCAGGAGAATCACTTGAACCCGGGAGGCAGAGGTTGTGGTGAGCCAAGATCACGCCATTGCACTCCAGCCTGGGCAACAAGAGTGAAACTCTGTCTCAAAAAAAAAAAATAGTCACAGCCACTCACATTTTTCTGACAATGTAACCACAGGGGACTAAAGTGGGACATATGCACCTCAGAGTACATGCAAAATCTCAGAATTTTCTATTTATAATTAACTTTTATTTAAAAAAGGAGAAAAATTAGGTTTCACTAATAATGCATATACTGATATTACGCAGAATATCTACAAACATGAATAAACAAATTATCAGGAGGTTCATATGACAGCAACAATTAAAAAAGTGTATAGAAGTGTATACAGACTTCTGCTTTAATGAACATAAATGCCTGAGCTTTCTTGTCCTTGTCTCTTTATTTTCTGTCCTAGTGTAATTTTTTTTTTTTTTTCCATATCTGGATGGTCACTGCCACTAAGGAAGTATAATGGAAAAGGCTGGGTCAGCAAGCAACTGGAGAAGATAGAGAAATGGTAATCTGAGCAAAGCAAGTCTGGAAAACAGCCATACAAAGTACCTCAGCACAGCTGTAATAACAGGACTGGGCACAGTGACAATCACACAAACCATCCTAATCGAAGACTCGTGCTCTGAGTTTAAAAGGTGATCAGCTTTCTTATGAAGAGCTCTAGACTTCTAGGACTCCCTGAAAATTATAGTGGAGATTCAAAAGCTATTTTCAATATTCTGAGAAAGCCTAGCACAAGCATAATATGTAATAGACAGGATCTTTCAAAACACATGGCTCCTGGGGAACAGCTATCAAAGAGGCACCTTGGTGGTAACAAAGACGGAAACTCCTAAAATAGTCTAGCTTACCTCAATGGAATCTTTGTTTCCTATGGAAAGTATCTAGCACAGGGCTTGGATATAGTATAGTATACATCTTTGTGGAATAAATGGGTGCAATATGTAACTGCAGCCACACAAATAATCTTATTTGAAGCCAATGCATTCTAAAGCTCTGTGTTTGTTACCTGTACATTAACTGTGTAAGCAACTTTCAAAATCTCAAAGCCTAAGGGACTATCAATAACTTACCAGAACATCTTACTTTCCCTTGATCACTACTGTACTAACTCATCTTTACCTGAAAGTTCCAGGTTGGAAGTATAAACAGTTGTTAAATGTCTACAAAAGAACATTAAAACCTAAGTAGAGGCAAAGGTGGGAGAGTGAAGAATGGTTGAAGCAGAGTTTTTGGACAGTGAAACTATTCTGTACTGTGGACACATGACATTATGCATTTGCCAAAAACCCATAGGCCATTTGATTCAGCAATTTAACTTCTGACTATATACACACAAAAGAACTGAAAGCAGAAACTCAAACAGCTACATGTACACTGATGTTCACAGCAGCATTATATGCAAAAGGTGAAAACCCAAATGTCCATTGACAGATGAATGGATCAATGAGATGTGGCATATAACATGGAATATTCAGCCTCAAAAAAGAATGAAATGGTAATACATGCTACAACATAGGTGAACCTTAAAGCCACCATGGGAGTGAAATGTGCCAGAAACAAAAGGACAATTTTTTGTTTACTAGTTTTAAGAGACAGAGTCTTTCTCTGTTGCCCAGGCTGGAGTGCAGTGGCATGATCATGGCTCACCGCAGCCAAGACCTCCTAGGCTTAAGTGATCCTCCCGTCTCAGCCTCCCAAGTAGCTAGGACAACAGGCAAGTGCCAACATGCCCAGCTAATTTATTAATTTCTTGTAGAGACAGGGACTCACTGTGTTGCCCAGGCTGGTCTTGAACTCCTGGGCTCAAGTGATAAAAGCACAATTATTATACAAGGCCACTTATATGAGATGCCCAAAATAGTCAAATACATAGGATAGAAGGAACATTGGTTACTGAGGGTGAGGGTAGGGACATGGGGAGTTACTGTTTAATGGGTATAGTTTACATTAGGGTTACTAAGAAAGCTCTGGAGATGGCTAATGGTGATAGTTGCACATCAGTGTGAATGCACTTAATGCCACTGAACAGCACACCTAAAAATGGTCAAAATAGTAAGTTTTATGTAATATAAATGTTGATACATGAACACACTCCCCATAAAATATACTACACAGCATAAACCCTAATGTAAAAAATGAGCTTAACTCATTAATAGTGTATCAATATTGGTTCATCAATTGCAACAAATATATCATACAAATGTACAATGTTAAAAACAGGAAAATAGGGGAAACAGGTGTGTGAGGGGAGGGCGGGAGAAGGTGGTATCTGGGAACTCTCTGTACTACCTGTTCTATTTTGTTAACCTAGAAACTAAAGTCTGTTAATTAAAAAAAATATTCTAAGCAGAGGCAAAGGGGGTTCGTCTGCGGCAAACTCCTTTATTTCACGTAGGGTCCTGTAGTGCCCCCCCTTCCCCTCAGTGATCAGTTTCCTTGTTGAGACCGTGAGCCCCCATGACTCAGCCTCCTTGCCTCCCAATTCTGATCTCATTCCTTTAATGCTCATGCATTTCCTGGTCCTAGAAGCTTGGTCCTGATGCTCCTGATCCCATGGGCACTGGATGCTACTGCTATTCCCTAGTCTGTCCACCTTGCTCTGACCTATGACTTGTCTTGACCTTAGTGTTTGTGTATACTCTGCCTTCCAGGGACTGGCCTGCTATTGACCCTTGGTATTCTAAACCTTGACACAGTTCCCTAATTTTGCTTATCAACCTCGTATTTATCTTGCTCAGCCTAATCGTAATTAAATGGGAAGAGTAGTTAGGGGGATGATATTGGTATACAATTATAATATTTGAAAACACTTCTTGATACTATAAATAAGTTATTTGTTTAATGTAAATTGCTTCTTAAAGGCAGATTTTATTCTACCTTCTAATTTCCTGCCTTAATTCTGTGTTCAAAGTGTCCAGACATAAAGTGAGAATTACAAACTGGAATGCCAGCATGAAAGACAGCTGAAGAGGACCAGATATAAAACAAAAGGGAATGGTCAGAATAGTGACTAATGGAAAGGAACAACTCTTATCTAAACACATTTGAAACACAACAAATCCCAAAACTGTGTGAGCCAAACAAAACTCACATTTCAGAATAGATGTGGTCTGTAGACCTCCAGGTCTCTACAATTTGAAACAGGAGGAGAGGGAAGGGGAAACATGGGTGCCTTAGGTAAACTACCATTTAATACACTAAATTTGAACTAAATCACTCCATACACACATATATTTACTAAAGTAACAAAGGGAAGCTTAGGCCTATGACCCATGTGGGCAGTGAAATCACATTTTAGAATAGCTAACCCTTTGGCCAAGAGAGAATGCAATTAATAATGTGACTAGTTTCCTGTACACTGCTGGCTACAGATAACCCCAAGAAGATCTAGAGAGCATTCTCCCATGGCATGATTCATTTTGCTTGCAGTGTCCTCAAAGGGGAAAATCTTACAACAGACGAAAAAAGCTTAAAAAGAAACAGTACAAATGTTTAACATTTTTTTTTTCATACAGGTCTACTCTTTCAAAGTCAAATATTTAACTTCTTTTTTTCTTTTTCCCTATTCTCATTTTATAAATGAGAATTAAATGGTGACCAGTCATCATTTACTGCTGAATATAATTTTTGAATCAGAAAATACTATGATGGTTCCTTGGAGGTTGGTGTCATGGGGCTGAAGGCTAGCAGACGGAGCAATCATGTCGCACAAACAAATTTACTATTCGGACAAATACGACGGCCAGGAGTTTGAGTATCAGCATGTCATGCTGCCCAAGGACATAGCCAAGCTGGTCCCTAAAGCCCATTTGATGTCTGAATCTGAATGCAGGAATCTTGGCGTTCAGCAGAATCAGGGTTGGGTCCATTATACGATCCATGAACCAGAGCCTCACATCTTACTGTTCCGGTGCCCACTACCCAAGAAGTTGAAGAAATGAAGCTGGCAAGCCATTTTCAGCCTCAAGCTTTACAGAGCTGTCCTTACTGCCTAACATCTTCCTGATGACATTATTGTGTTGCCTTCCTGTTTCTCACTTTGATATTTAAAAGATGTTCAATACACTGTTTGAATGTGCTGGTAACTGCTTTGCTTCTTGAGTAGAGCCACCACCGTAGCCCAGCCTGATGAGTGTTCTGTGGACCCACACCCTCAGCTGAGTGTGATCCCAGAAGCCACAGCATGCTGGGTAAATAGAACACACTTGGCAGATGGAGGAAGCATCTGAGATTAACACCATGGCTGTTACATGGATGGTGTAAACTTGTTTTTGTTTTTTTCTGCTGGGTGTTGTATGTAGGGTGACTTTTGGATTTATGTTTCAGTGTACCGGAAACTTTCCATTTTATTCAAGAAATCTGTTCATGGTATAAGCCTTGATTAAAGAGGAAGTTTTTATAATCTAAAAAAAAAAGAAAATACTATGACATATTGATTTTTTTTAACAGATTAGAGGATATTCTTCACATTAAGTCTACAACATATGAAGCAAAGAGAACAAGGCCTCCACTTGCCTACCCTGCATATTTGAATTAGCAGATGAATAAGAAAAAGGCACACTTTTCTTCAGGCAGACCACCAGGTACATGCCTCTGTGATTAGAACCCGGGCTGGAATTTAGTCTCCCTTTGCCTCCTCAGAGAGGTGCTTTTGTGTAGTACCTAATAAACTGTGCAACTGAATACAATGGACTGATCTTATCCTACATTAAAAAAATGTTATCGTAATCAAGAAATTATTTAGATTCCGCCAGTCATTGCTTTCTGGCCCACCATGCCTTTTCATTTGATCAACAATCCCTAATTTATAAACTCTTTAAAATGTCAAAATAATTAATACTCTAGCAATGACTTTCAATGGTTTGGTATTGAATATGTACCTGAACCCTCCACTCAAACCCCAGCCTGGCTCACAACTTCCCTGCCCATTTTGCTCTTTTCATCTTGTTCAAGAGGTTCCCACAATAATCTGGCCATGAAGAAAACCTCATGCACAGTTACCAGGATCTCATTGTCTCGGCTCTAGGAGGGCACTCCTTTATATTTTTTGAGATGGAGTCTCGTTCTGTCACTCAGGCTGGAGTGCAGTGGTGCGATCTCTACTCACTGGAACCTCCGCCTCATGGGTTTGAGCAATTCTACTGCCTCAGCCTCCTGAATAGCTGGGATTACAGGCACACGCCACCATGCCCAGCTAATTTTTGTGTTTAATAGAGATAGGGTTTCATCATGTTTGTCAGCTGGTCTCGAACTCCTGATCTTGTGATCCTCCTGCCTCAGCCTCCCAAAGTGCTGGGGTTACAGGCATGGGCCACTGCAGAGGGTACCCTTTTAACTTAACCAAGTCCCTGAGTCTCCCCTACTATCCCAGGACGGCATCTTTTTTGAGATTCTTCCCACCTAACTCAGCCAGCTCTGCAGAATGAACCCAGAAAGACTCTATCCTGGGCTACTAGAAAACAGGTCATAAAATCTTATTGATACCTTTAAATGAATAGGTGTTCACCTTGCTAACAAGGCAAAAGTTGGTAGCAAAGAGGTCGAGTTTGAACACTGAGAAAGATTCACACGTGTAGTAACAGATACTGACAATGTGAAATACACGAATTAACACAAAGGCAGAAACTAATAATAAGTATTTAGAAAGCAATGGCTCTCTCTTGTTCAAAATTACAGAGATGGACTTTGCCACTTAGGCTAATCAATCCATAACATTTACAAAGCTCTATGACATGTAAGTAACTGAGGGTACCCAGTTTGACAAGTACGTGTTAATGGAACAGAATATCAGAAACTAGAACTCTCCCGGAAGTTAGGGAAAGTCAATGAAGATATGATTATCTAAGATTGCAAAGAGCTGCTGTAATGAAGGGAGGCAAGACAGAAATATTCTAAAGGATGGCAAACAGTATGAAGCAGAATTAGAAGTTGATCTGGGATATATAAGCGGCAGAGACCAAAAGGTTTAATAACACACTGAGTTGGCAAGTGTGAGGAAAAGTGGGCTCTCATACATTGTTGATGGGGTTGTAGATTAACAAAATCCCCATAAAGAGCAGTTTGTCTTTCAGAGTAAAAATCTTAAAATGCACATGTTCTTTTACTCAGTAATTCCATCTATTTACTTGAAAGATACAGGCCTACTTGTGTGGACTTCTGTATGTGTACCAGTGCACATTGCAGTGATGTCGGTAACGGCCACAGAATAATTACTAAGCCCACCATCAGGTGATTGGTTAAAAATTATAGCACTATTTTACATAGCCATTCAAAAGTGCTATATGTACTGATATGGAATATTCAAAGTATAGTATGTGAACAAAACAAAGTGGAACAGAGTATCCCATATGCTACCATTAAAACACGTGCAAGCTGTGTAACGCCATGACTGTTTCTGTGGGGATATGTGAAGAGCTGGTAGAGTAACTGTCTCCAGGGAGGCAGAGGACCACTTATCACCACAGTTTTTTGCATTTCGTGAAGTTTGTACTATGTACATATATCACCTAATCAAAAAGATAAAAAACTTTAAATAGGAGCAGAGAATATATAATAATGCTATTATCCATGCATATATAAAAGGTATAATAGAACAGAAGACTGTCTTGGGCAGAAGTGATTAATGAAGGTTTCCCACAGAAGGTACATGGAATCAAATCAATCTGGGAGGCCAGGTGTGGTGGCTCATTCCTGTAATCCCAACACTTTGGGAGGCTAAGTTGGATGGATCACTTGAGGCCAGGAGTTCGAGACCAGCCTGGCCAACCCAACATGGTGAAACCCCATCTCTATTAAAAAAAAAAAAA